ATGCTTCTTAGACCAGGTGGTTATATTTCTACATAAAACAGTTCAGATCCGCTTTTCCATTGCTGACAGAGTACCAAAAACTTCATTGTCCTGCAGTAGGGTGCTACTGAATGTGTAGCAAACATATCCATTAACTTTCTTGCCAGAGCTAATGCTGAGCCTATCCAACAAGTTCCAAGAAAACATTTGAATATCACTTTTGTTAGAGTTGATAATATGTAAAGTATTAAAAAGAGTTTCAGAATGTTCTATGGACAAGTTTCTATATATTTCCAGATATTTCATATTCTTTAAAAAAAGAGTACAAAAATGTTTATCGTAGCTTATAGTGGTTAGTGTACAAGTAATACTGTGGAATTTGCCCTCCTGCCTTGGACTACTGCCTGAAGCATTGTGTAGTTTTGGCATGCCATGCCTTAAAAACATTATCATGAAATTTCAGCAAAATGCAGTTGAACTACATCCACAGGATGGCAGTAGAAAATAGCTGTCAGGAAATCTACTGTAAGTTGATGACTGCTGTTATGACTCTTCTGACAGCCACAACAATACAAAATTGGACCCTGTGAATAATATTTATTATTCTGGGAGTAAATCCTCAGGTATCAAGAAGAAGTGAAAAAATTAAATATAACGAACTGAAGAGAGGAGACATTTCTTAATTATAATAAACACTTATAAACTTTTTTCAGAGGTAGTAAAAAAAAGGCAAAACAGGATGACTTCATTTTATAGCACACCTTGACTTCTAAATGTTCCTGGACAAGATTCAAACCCAGATATCTGGTAGCTGTAGTAAAATGATGAATTGATGGTTATCTGATGCAATCTGACCTTGATTTACTCTGTGGGAGATGATCTATTACTATTCCACTTTCTATTTAGGTTTTGGTTATTTGTTGTATGAACTCCCTAATGAAAATCCTGGTTTATACAGTTGGTGTTTCCCAAGTTAGTTCACAAGAAGATACGTATCATTTATGTGAAAGCAACAATTGCATTTTGAAGTCATAAAAATATCCTAATGTTCCTTCTTCTGAGAACATTAACTCTCTTCCATTCATATTTATATTACAGGCAGAGCTAGTAAACTGTGCAGTGTTATTGCAGGCCCCTTGGGCACACACATTACAACGCAAGCCCTAATTACTTCATCACACAATATTTTTTTCCACATCACTCTGCCAATGCAGAGAACAAAGAGAGCTTGAGGGTAAAATATAAAGGTAGTAAAGGAAATTTGGTTTTCCTCATCTGCTGCAGAAGTTGGAAGGTGCTCTCTGAATAAGGTTGGGGACTGCAACATGAGAAAGCAGTTTCATGGTAAAGGTAATTGAGTGCTGTCAGGAGAAAGGATAAAATCCCTACTCCTGCCACAGAATTCACATATGATGCAAGTCACTTAAAGCTAACTAAATTGTCATAAGCATGTATTTTACATTTTCTGGGTGCTCAGCCTAGCACCTTCAGGTTTATGTCACCAAAGTGCTAGGCACTTGTATCCTGTAGTGGAAGTTAGACTTTCACCCATTCCTTCCAGTGACTGGAATTGTTCGTACCACCCCAATCTATAGTTTTCCTCTCGCCTTATGCACAATACTAAAGTCACTTTTAACAATAACATTTTCCTTTATGCCTCAATTTCTACATCATCTGCTTTCAAAACAGTATTTGGAAAATATGGGAAGTTTATAAAAAAAATTAGGAAATCATTTTGGGAGCACCCAAAAATGTTCACAAGATATTGTGAACACCGCTGCTTCACAGCAGTGCTTCCAAGTCTACAGAATAGTTTGGTTTGGCTTTTAAGAGGCCTTTATGACTGACCAAAGACTTCAGAACCTGCTAACTAGTCCAGAACAGCAGAGCCCTTAAAGAAGATAAGGTAAAAGACAAGACAAAAGATGAGACAAAATACAAGCCTTTACGTTGTCGAGCTGGGTTAATTTACTTTCTTATTGGAAATCAGCTGGTTTATACTTAGTCATCATGAGTATTCTTTAAAAATTGTGCATCAAACGGTTTAAAAAATAGTATTATATTGTCAGTCATTATTCATTGTTCCATGTGTGCCATCTGGAAGACAGAAACCTACCTCTGACTAGCATTAGTAACATAATTTCCCATTTTATAACAACTTTGTCATCTACCCAACAACCATTTGAAATCTATATAGCCTCTAACATCTCTTATGTTAGCACTTGTACAAACCAATCAAGATTTTACGAAGAACACGAAGGGACAACCTAAGCTATACTGGCATGAAATATGAAACTACTCATCAAGAAAGTAGAACACACTACGTGATTACTTCAATTCCACGCATTAGTGATCTAAAATATAAATATGAAGATGAGTGTGAATTCATACAGAGACCCAACCTGTTAAGATTTTGAAGCTAACTTAACTCTGCTTGCAAGCAGTTAATGAGGAAGAAACTAAAATACGTGCCCTGTATCACACAGACTATACATTGTCAAAGTACTCACCACACTCATACCTGGCAGAAATCCAGTATGATCCCTAAATAACCTAGAGTACGATTTATGAAACACCTCTTGTATTACACTGCACAACACCAGCAAAGACCCAGCAATTCAGCAACTGGCTGGTATCCAAGAGGAGTCACTCAGGAGGAAAAGAAGGGGCTACCCAGCCTGGTCTCTTCTGCACAGTAGCCTGAACTGGCCTCTTTCCACCCACTTTGCTTCCAGCCCAAACTCCAGCTGCCCTTTGCTGCTTGTTTGTGTTCATTTCACTAACTGGGAATAAGAAAAAAATGTAAAACAGTGGGAGAGTGAGCAAAGATTTTGTGCCTAAATTGCTTTTACAGGGGAAACTGAAAGCTAGTTTCGAGACCAGATTCGGTCTGAATGTGGCTTTGTAGTGAAAGAGGACATAATCTTAAGTATGAAGGACTTCATATGCAAAAACAGATCAGGCAGATTTGTGCATTATATATGTCTGGAAAGGCTGTTGAGCCCTATAGTTACTTGCAGAAGCTGGAAATTCCCATCAAACTCTGGCAAGCTTTGCCCAGCTGTGGAGATTAGAGGAGTCTGAGAAGGAAGGACAGGACCACCCGAGGCGGGCAGTGCTGGTCTGGATAAAAAAGTACCAGACAAAAAATTCTAGCAAGCAAGTTATTTGAGTCCCTGAAGGCATTGATTTTCAAATTGTTGTACAAAACCTGAAGTAGCTTTGTTCCAGTCTAAAAAAATCCATCTAGAACAGGTTGTTTACTTATAACCCAGCTGGCAAAAACTTGTAGTCATGGTTCCATCACTTTTGGAAATTTTGGAAAAAAGTCAAATCTACAGTACATGTCAATGAGGTCTTTCCTGGCACAGGTAGATTTGGCTTATTGGCCTTTTCATATTGATAATACAAGGAGACAAGTTTTCTCTCTGACTTGTTGCCAAAAAGCCTCAACAACTTAGCTTTAAGTAAGTTTCTGAGAGGGAATTCCAGGCAGTTATTTCTGGATACACAAGGCTTTTAAAATGCAAAAAATGGGTAAGAACTTGCTACAATCCCAAAGCTAGCAGAAAGTATTAAAAACAAGCATTAGCTACAAATACAGATGCCTTAACATCTGTACAGATATATATATAGAGATAGATATCAATTACACTCGTTTTATCATTCCTAGTAATGATGAATTTCTTCCTTCCATTAACACCAGTAGCTTTTCCAATTATTTTTCTTGATTTCATTTTAAGAAAATATATGTGGCCGCTACATTCAGGAATACCAAAAAGACAGCTATTTCTATAGGATATTTATTGGAATTATGTCATAGATTTTGGATGATGAAATAAATCTTGCTAGAAGAAAAATTTTCTGAGGTGTAATAAAAATTAGCACTTAATACTAAAACTTAGTGCTTGGAATTCATAAGTAGCACAGAATTGCTACTTGACATAATCACAACTGTGGACATCAATTTCTTGTTTGAAGAAGTATGTATTTTTAAAATGCCAATGAAAAGAAAACAGAGAAGCCAGTCTACACTTTTCCTCTCCTGACAGACAATACTAAAGCCAGTTGCACCTCTTTCCAAAAATTTACACTTGCCAGCAAGGCATCATACATTTATAAAATAGAAGTATTTTTCACTGCATTGGAAACTTCCAATAAATGACATAACAAGCAGCACTGCAACAGGTGAAAGGACAGACTGTCCCTTGACAGGAATCTGGGAAATTTTCCATTAAATTTTTTCAAGGGAGTTGAGAGAGGAGAAATATCCCAGTCTATTCAAGATAATGCAGCTTTTACATTTTTATATTCTCATACAACAGAATATGACTCAACACTTCTTCCTTCGGTCCATTAAGTGACATAAAATCAAGATTAAAAAGTACCCTGTATCTGAAAAAAACCAACAAACAACCCATGTCATCTAGCAGCAATGCTTTCAGGACATGAACATTGTCCTAAAACTTCCTTCGAAAGCCCTGAAGAGTCAAAAGCAGTGTCCGAGACAATTTTGTGCCCACTTAATGCCGAGTATGTACACTTCTAGCAGCCCTGCATACAAATTCATAGCAGACTGATTAGCAGATTAGGATGGTTCAGTCAGTGATTTTTATTTATGAGTCACACCATTTCAGAGTCAACAGACAAATGCAGTTATATTGCTGGTTTGGACCAATTACTGCCTTCATAGTCAGTCGAACTAGGTGAAACCCAGAAATACTCCATTATCTTTTTCAGAAATACTACTCATTAGCTTTGTTTTAAGTTAGAGTAGCAGTTAGACTTTTTTTCATGTAAAACTACATTTGTGGTATTTTTCTGATTAGGTGATATTTGATGCAAAATACATACCAAACAGCTCAAAAAATGTAATTTTCCCCACTTGTTTTTCATAAGAAAAATTATTTATTTGGTCCACCCAAAACATCATGAGTAAAGCTCATATGTAATCATTTCTATTTCCTGTTTCTGCTGGTACATAGTGTCAGTGAGATTAGGGGATATGTATCTGCACATACCTTCTGTCTGTAGGATACAGCTCCACAGTAATGACATCTAGAGAGTTCCATGCTGAGATGGTGAGGCCGTTGTAGAGGCACAGCATACCTATCATCATGGATTCACTGGTCCCAAACCACAGGAAAAAACAGCTGATGCCAGAAAGGACCATGGAACCACCTAGGTACAAGGCAGGTGAGACAAATATGAAGTGGAGATATTTTTAAAGAATAATCTTTGTGTTGTCTAATGTTTCTATACACACAGTGTAGCTAAATAAGTGATGCAAACATTTGAGCTAAAAACAAAGAAGACTTTCTCTGGTGGTAAGACCAGTCAGGAAGACAAATGCTGAACGAGCTCATAAAACAAAACATAACTCCTCAAAAATTAGGATATGTCATAAAGCATTAAGCCGGAACCCTCTATGAACTCCCAAAGCAAGCTGCTTGGGGAAGGTCCCCATTCTTCTTCGTTCATCATCTTTGCAATTACATGAAGCTTGTTCATATATTATAGCAGTAAAAACACTGACTGGGAATTGTATTTATATGGAGATAGTCTCTTGGAAAGTGAAGACAGTAAACTATCACATAGTTATTTAAGTAAATTGAAAACAGATTTCTCATTGCAGACAATCCACTGGAGATATCTTTCAACTGTGTTCCTTTGCAAAATAGATAACAAAGAACTACTGACACTTCCAAGGATATGCTCCACTAGCTGACTGTCACATAGGCACACCTTGCTTTCCTTTCAGTTGGAGCAAAGATAAACCCAGTGGTCATCACTCTCCAAAATCTCATTCTAAATGAGACCATTCTAAGTAATGGTCTTGTAATATCGGTGTGGAAGAGCAATGACTGATAATGTGACATAGCAGAGATGGCCACAGAACCCTTTTTTTCTAGTGTTTCTAAACTGGAGGCTTTTAAAAACAGCAGTTATGATGCCACATAAATGAAATATCTGCAGAAGGAATGTTTTACATTTCTCTGAGCCAAATTCCCTGAAAAGAGAACAGGTTATTTTGGTCTTCTTCCCTGTTTCAAAGTGAAGCCCCTACCTAGCATCGTTAACCGTCCTATTCTATCCATCAGGAGAGCAGACACAATATTCCCTGGTAACACTGCCAAAGTTCCCAGGAAATTAACAAAGTAGATCCAGTAGGCACTGTAGTCATCATCAAAAGAAATCTGGCATCCTGTTCTGACGTGAAAAAATGTGCAATTTATCAATTCACTGTCAACAAATTTATACTGCTCGAGATCTGCGGAAAGAAGAAAAAGAAACATTTCAGCTAGCAGCCAATTCCATGTGCAGCTTTTGATTAAAAACATTTTGAGTTCAAGTAACTTTAATGACAGCTTGGAGCTTTTACTGCTATGTAAAAGGGGACTAGTTACTGCTGTTAATTTTGATAGCTTTTTGTCTTACTAGAAAGATTTGCAAAGCTCATGGAAAAGAGCAACTAAAGCCTGGAATTAGGGGGTTATATTGTATTTTTGCCCTGTTTGGACTGTATTTGGTTAAGGTCTTTCAGCACCAGCTGGTCTTGCATAAAAAGCACTGGTATCTGCAAATTTCTATGAGTCAGTCTTGCTCGGTATCAGACCTTCTCTTTCCACATCAAACAACCTTTTAGATGAGACTGTCGATTGTGCTCAGTATGGTTTGACTTCCTTTAAGTGAAATACTCCTACAGAATTTAGTTCAAACTGGTTTTCATTTCTGAGAAGGCCTAATGATCTTAAATTTGCCCATAGATGAGTTACTATATGTAGGGCAATCTTCTGCCAATACCATTTCAGAGATCTCTCCCTATACTTCCACGCTTTGTTCCTCCTGTTAGCCTTATAAACCTCAATTAAGAATACCTTCCTTCCACACAAAGAAATCTGGGCATTGTTTGCTCTGAAACCTAACTGTATTAATATAATTATTATGGTTGCTGTAGAGTCAGCAAAGCAGCAAGAAGTGCCCCATGTTTCCAGCAAGCTTAGTTGGCCCTGTTCTCTTTCAGTTATATTTCATTTAACAGGAAAAAAGAGTCTTCTGTTTCCACATATGAAGATAGGGATTCACATTTACAATACTTAGGAGAGTAGGAATAATTATAGATTAGGGAGTTTGAATCCTGAGCTCAGACTCCCCTGCCACAGCAAGCACAATAAACAAAGTATTTCAACAGTCCTACCAGCTACCAGTAAAGCAGTAAATATGCTTTTTTCTCTCCAGACTGAATCTCTTTAGAGATGGTTGAAATCAAAGAGATGTTTATTATCTGAGTTAATATTAGGTCTCTGGTATCTCTTTTGCAGTGTGATCCTTTAACTTCTCTGTCATAACACTATGAAGGTCTGTTGTTTTTTATAAATTTTTATTCCCTACAAGAGGACTTGTATGCCTTCTTAGAAATCCGGAAATTATAAATGTAAGAAAAGAACATGCAGCTGAGCAATGGGCATTCAGGGATTTTTCTCATAATACCTGTGTTGTAGAAGGTGGTATTCACAAAAGTACAGTTCCTGAAGTATGTGTTCAGTGAAGTAATGTCTTCAAACACACAGTTCTTAAAAAGTGAATCTTCAAATGTTACCGATTTAAACTTCATCATAATAAACCTGCCCAATAAAAATAATTCTTGTCAGTCTACCTTCATAGTTTAGAAGGAGCAACAGATCAAGGTGATGTAGCTATCTAGTTCTAAAAAATCTCAACCCCAGTAAAAATGATTCCTTAGATGCATTTTGCAGATGTTATTAATGATTAGCTCATTCTAGAATACTATTGTTTAGAAAAAGAATTAGTAAGACAAATTGTTCTACATAGTTACTGGCCCTAACTGGTAATATAATTTCTTTGATAGTATTTCTATTCTTACTTGTCCCTAATCATCAACAGAAACTGATGTCATGACATTCATGGAACAGCCTTGTAAAACCATTATTACTTTCAATTTGCCATTACAGATGGAAATTAGGAGATGCTTCAGAAACTCAGTCCCTTGGGATAAAAAAGCACCTGCTAATACCAACAAGCTGAAAATAAAGAATCTTTCAGAAAATGTTTATTTCTCCAGATGAATACACTGGTTACCATGTTAAGCTCAAATGCAAAACATACTGGTCTGAATTTTAAAAAATGTTTTTGCAAAATGATTAAAATAAAACATGAATTAAAAATTACATTGCCAGTTATACAACTAGATATCTAACTGTAAGTATATCTTCATTACTCCTGTGCCTGGGGATGCAATTACAATTACTATGCACATAAAACATGTGTGAATGATTTGTTGGTGACTTTCTTTTTTTCTGAATATCCTCCTTCCTACTGACTTTCATTTAACACATAGGTCTTTGATTATGACCATCAATTGAGATATTAATAGAAAAAATCAATCACAAAATATATTACAGTAACTTTCTACCTATATGGCAGTACACTAAAACAATGCTGTTAGAAGACTTCTTTAGTAAAAAACAAATTGTGCTAACAACAACAACAACAACAACAACAAGATGTAGAAGTACATCATTGTTTTTGAGATGTCTTTTATTTCACATGAAGGTGTGGAAAAGGGGCAGTTTTGGTGTCAGACTTCACACAAAGTGGCAACGGTTTGGAAAGCAGAGCTTTAATTGTTATAGGGCAGGAAGATCTGTCTTCCCAAAGTCTTCCCAAGACAGACCTGTCTCTACTCTAATTAGACCTGGTGTGATTACCTAAGTATTTGTATTATTACAAGAGTAATAGTAGGAAAAGCAACAAAAAAAATATATGCTACCTACAAAGTAGTGGGAATTAAACTCTCACAAATAAAGTTGTTGAAATCACATCTTTATGAGAAAGGAGGGAAAAGCTAATAGTGTTTATTACAGTAAGCAACTTATTAACTAATGAATTTTCTTTTTTGCATTGGTCAGAATAATGGTGTTTTCAGTCCATTAGATTTAGTTACTATATAATTTCTCATTTTGACAGACTGATTAAAATTAGGCTAGAGTTCAGTGTCAACTCATTATCATTTTTCATATAGCTCTTTCCATTCAAATTTGTAGCCTAATTTCAGAGGAGAACAAAAAACATCAGTGATTAGATTAGTCAGTTGGAACAGAAATGACAGACTACATGTTCTTCTAATGCACTTTTTACCCTTGGACAGGAAACATGTGACTACATTAAAATTTGTGTTGCTATGATTTTAATTAAAACCCAACAGGAAGGTAATGTAGTAAAAAGTCAAGTATTGATGGATTTTCTAGCTAAGGAAGAACATGAAGAGAATGCTGAGAATGAGGGTGAGTAGAGTACTGAAACATATGGGAAGGAAGGGTATCAAATGAGTTCATACTTCTTGGAAAAGGCTTTGTGAATCTCAAATAACTGTCAGAAGCGTATTAAAATTGCACATTTGGAAGAGTAAATTAGTGATTTAGCATAGATTAACGTTAAATTTAGCATTTTACAAGAATATCCTGTTTAAATTGATCAGTTAAATAACTTATTTTTTTCTGCAATGCATAAACCTTTAACTCTGTCAAAACTCAAGTTCTTATAAAAAATTATAATAATAAAAATTATTAAAAATCATTAATTTTATTCGCTTAGATATAGATTTTCCTATGGAAATAATAATTACTTATCACCATGACTTCCAGGAGACCATTCACATGGTTGTTCTGTATATTTCTTAATAGAAACCAGATACCTAAAACAGCTGTGTTTAATTTTCCCCCAAGTTATCTAGTTATCTGTCAAGCCCAGATAAAGCCTTAATATATCTGGCTTCAGCTAAAAAAATCACAAAAGGCACTGCCAGAGTGTTGTTTCCCATTTCGGAGCTGTTCATGCTTTTTACTGGTTTACAGTAATGTTTAGCTTTCATTTTTCTGTGATAAGATCCTAGCCTCTCAATGTTCAGCATTTTCACAGAAGTGTCTTTCATCGATACAAAAAAAGAACAAGCAACAGAGATGAAAGTACATCCTTCCGCAAACCTCTACAATATGTTGCATATGTTGGATCTGAAAACCTTTGAATCCCACTGTGAAAGGAAACACCATTGACTTAGGCTTTTTGGTCTGTTTTTCAGCATGACAAGGAAGCTGGGTTTGCATGGTGGATCTTCACACAGGAACCATGTAAAAGTCTGTTTCTCCCCATGCTCATGAACCATAAGAAATCAAGAACAGAAATAAATTGTCACTAAAAAGCAACAAAAACATTGTATCATTACCTAAACCCTAAAGGGAAAAAAAAAATGTGATTAGAATGTGCTTTAAAATATGTATCTGTTTATTCCAGTTAAGCCAGGATATAAGGAAATCTCTAAACCTGTCATTGATGTATTCTCCATTGCTGTGAATCTGATTTTCCAGTGTGAAGTTGAAGACAAAGTGTGAAACCTCCTCATTGCGGAAATGTTTCACTCGGGATGCATACTCATCTGACTGCAGATGTTTAATGACATCAGGAAACCAGACAGATAAGCCATAGTAGCTGTGAAAAACAGAAAAACATCAGGCACCAATCTCACTCCTTCAGAAATCACACTAGAAGATTCCAGTTTTCTGAAGCAGATATTTCTTATGAGCCAGGTTTGCAACCAAGAATAGACTAACTGACAAATATAACATTTTGTGGAAAGATTCTGAATAAAACAGATAATCATAGTGACAGAAATTTATATGCAGATAACTCTTCTGTCTGTCAAGAGTATAAAAAATGGTTTAATCTCAACCACTCTTACCCAAAAGACAGGGTGAACCATACAGCCGTAAGTTTGATCGTATTATCCTTCACCGGGTAGTTGAAGCATCTCATAAACGTCAACCAAATCTGCAAATCATTAGGAAACACATTTATTTACATATTTTTTTGAACAATTTTCTTAAATGATAGGTTTCTTTCCCTGATTTGCTTGCCTCTTTAGGGCATGAGAGAGAGCAGATCAGATCTTTGGCCACACTTTTTGATGCAGCCCAGGATATGATTCACTTTCTCAGCTGCAAGCACATATTGCAGGTTCATATCAATTTTGTTGTAACCAGTGTGGACTGCGCGTATTAATTCAACCTGCTGTGATCATCTCAAACTTTCTTAAAGTTAGACAGCTTCATTTCACTATCTCAAATAAAAAAATTATCTTCTCAGAAAGGCTTTCTTCTCACTTCCCAGTATTGCAGTACTTTAAATTTAGGTAAAATATGTTCCATGATTCAACAGTGATACAACCAGAGTTTGATCTATCATAACCTACCATGGCTAGAAACTGACATCTGAACTATATGAGGAAAATGTGGGACTATCCCCAAATTAGAGACACCGTAGCAGAGCTGACTGAGAATGTTCTCATTTCTCTCTCTCTCATCACAAGATGATCTCCTTTAAAAAAAGAGAACAGACAGACTGTTCTAAGAGGTCCCAACATGCCTCATGCAAAAAGGAAAGTGCTCTGACTGAGGGTCTAGTCTAGTGAGATAACAAGAATGTGAGACAATGAAGCTGCAACTCCTTTAAAGCTGGTTTAGCACATATTTCAGTCTCCAACTATTCCATTTTTGGTCAACAACTATAAAAACTTGCCCAATTTTTTTTTTCCATGGAGAAAATGTGACTTTTCATAGCAAAATAATTTTGTGACAAACCTTAGTTTGCAACACGTCATCGTAGTTCTGAAGAGCTTTAAGATTTTTAACAGCTGTGAAAAATCAGTTTTGAATGTTTTTTCAAATTGATCAATGAGGCTAATTTTTCAATTTTTATTATAAGATTCAAAGATACAATGTAATTTTGGTTTTACAAAAAAAAGTAACAAAAGTATAAGGAGCACAGTCCCACAAGTTTGTATTAAAGTCTGAAATAACTCTAACATAGTTTTGATATGTTAGATATATATATATGATACCATAGTTTCTGGTAAAACATTTGACATGCCTACAAAATTCATGCAGATACAATGCCTTCTTATAAAGGTTTTATTGACATACATTTACAAAATTTATTCATGAATTTACCATTTGTAAATAATGTGGCTGTCACAAGTTCTTCTTGATAATTTTTCGTCTCATCATTTGTAACCTATTTCCATAGGTATATATTGATATGTCACAAGTACTGAGGCCATGTTACTGAGAACGCAGCTGCGCTGGGCAGGGCACGTCTCAAGGATGAAGGACCACCGCCTCCCTAAGATCCTGCTCTATGGTGAACTTGCCACCGGCTGCCTCATGAGAGGAGCCCCGAAGAACAGATACAAGGACTCCCTGAAACAACATCTCAGCCTTGGCCATATTGATCATCATAACTGGTCTACTCTGGCCTCAAATCGGGAGGCCTGGAGACACACCATCTATAACGCAGCTGTCTCCTTCGAGAACACACGCAGGATCACTCTCGAGGAAAAAAGGCAACGCAGAAAGAACCGTGTATTGCAGAATACACCATCTAAGGAGTCTTTCTGTTGTGCCTTTTGCAATTGGATATGTCTGTCACATATTGGCCTCATAAGCCACCGGCGCGCCTGTAGCAAATGTGGATAGAGCCTTCCCAAATCTTCGTTCGCGAATCCTAGCCATGATATTGATATGCATTCCCACTACATATTTATTTTGGGGTGCTTGTGCATATGGCTACGTAATTATTAGCTATCACTTGTGTAAGGACCAAGGCAGCATTTTCATTTTCAGAAGCTGAGACCAACCTCTGTGATTCACCTGCATTTTTTCTGGGTCAGGAAACCAAAAATTTACAGTGGTTCCTGAATGTCTCAGTTGCATTGCAGGTATCAACAGCATGAGCTCAATGAATCCTTTCCACTTCAGAAAGCTAATCAAAAAGAAAAAAGGTAATTACAGAGTGAGCAGAGGTGTTGATACTTACACCATACAGCTCTGTGCGGATTCTTACAAAACACCTCCTGTACCAAGTTCCAGTATCACTCTCTATTTCTATGAGCTCATCTATCTGCTTTGGTGTTTTGATTCTGGTGACCTAGAAACAAAAACAGAACACAAATATTTGTATTTTCTTGAATCATTAGCTGCCTATAGAGGAGTATTGGCAGGGTTTATCAAATCCCATCTACTAAAAATGAGCAGATATTAAACTTGTGTCTACACTAGAAATGCTTTAAATGTGTAAAGGAATAGTAGCACACTGTAATGACAAAGGTCATTATGGATGCAACTGTACCAGAAAGCTCTGCTTTCAAAGGATGCAGGAAATAAATTTCCACTGGCTACAATAAGCTATTGCTGTCAGATTCTTCTAGAGTGCTGTATATTCCCCTAATGGCACAAAGTTTAAAACATGATTTAAACCATCAAATAGTTAAGCATGTTCAGAGTTTGCTATCAAATTGTTTCTGACTTGCTATCACAATGTTGCTGCAAGTCTATTGATTAAAGAGAGAGCAATGAAAAGAGAAGTATTCAAAATGTCATGAATTAATTGTTGAAAAAACCCTTTATTTTGTTTTTATTTTGTGTAGTGTTAAACAGAGAACTTAATGAAGAGAGAAAAAGTGAGATGAAATGATCTGGAACCACCATGGTATTGCTGTTATGAACAATCATCTACTTCATCAAAAGTGAAATAAGATAAACAGACATCAGAGAAAAATACAGAACCACCAGTGACAGAGAATGTGATGTTGCCTATAATGCTAATTTTCGCTTGCAGTCCCTTGGGTAGCAGAACAAGAATGTGTTACATGGCCTTTCCAGACACAGGACCTGACAAACTTATAGCATTGTGTGGTTCTGGTTTTGGCTTCTGCTCTGGTCCCAGCTTAATAGCGGTATCACAAAAGGTAGTGTATTCGTCCACAGTTTATTTTCAAAGAAGGCAAATAGAGATTGGAAAGAAAATCAATAAAATGGGGAAAGGGACTGACATAGAAGGAAGGAGAGACCAAGAGACTGACTGTTCAGTGTTTGGCTGCAGTTTCTGAAAGCAGCTATAACTTGTGTTTCTTCTTAACAGAATGAGGACGCCCCCCCTCAACCTCCAAGTGTATCATAGTGGATTACAGGACATTAGGTAATAGCGCTATTGATGGTGAAGTTCTAGTTTTGAGCCCATTGCTTTTACAGATGCACCAGCAGCCTCATCCCATGAACAAGAAAAAAGAAAAGCCCACTAAACAGTTTTAGCTATAACCATTCTCATTTCTTAAGTACTACAGCTCACTGTCTTGCCAGATCATGACTTTATCCAAAGCCTGTAACCTTCTTGTCATGACTCTTCCAATAATCCTGTTCACATTATTCCATTAATTTTAAGCTTTTCTTAACTGCTTTTATGAAATGTGTTATACAAAAGAGTGCTCAAAGATTATATGAGATCTCCTACATGCAGAAATCCTTACATACTACACCTCTGAGCAGAAAGGGCATGCCTTTTGTATTACACTTGGTAAACCAGTACCACTCCTGTAGGCTCAGGAGCAGCCTTTTCCCCACACTGGGCACCTGACTCATTTGGAGACATGGAGGCTGGGGGACTATTTATATCTTAGGATCACTGTATGTGACTGGGCACAAAAGTTCCCAGGCTTTGATGGTTCTTTAACATATGAAGAATCTTATTGAATCAGGAAAATATTCCATCTGGACCATGCAAATTCAGCTGCCAGTATATGAAGAATGAAAAAAAAACCCACCTATTTTAATGCAAATAACACTTTTGTTTAAAAGTAATAACTAAAAACATGCGATATTTTAAATTTTACAAAATCAAGACTTGCTTCATAGAAAAATATTTGCACGGAAAAAAATAACTAACACATGACAATGAAAGAGTGGTGAAAATTTTGGTTTTAAGGATACAATTTTATTATTATTATTATTTAAACCAAGACATCTAATGAATATGTATTTTAAGAGCCCAGGAAGTTAATTAAGCACATACATAAACATTTAACTTGGGTGGTACCATGACAGAAGATACTACTAATTTATTACCATCTCTGTTACTATCACTGCTTTCAGGAGAGATTCTCAAAAGTGTGAAGTGCCATCAACTCCATCAATTCAGTAACCAGAAATCCATTTTGGGTTTCTAATTCTAAAAGCAACTGTTTATCAGTGGATGACTTCTTTTTTTGAAGGCTTGAAGATAATCCCTTTGATAATGTGAGTAACAAGAATAAACATGACTTGTGAGAAAAAGCTTCTAGAAAAAGGTTAAGTCAATATAATACAGGAAAACATATAAAAGGAAATCACACTTAAAGCATAGGAGTAGTGAAGGAAAAGTTATATCATCTGTAGAATTAGAAAATGTACTATCAAAGCATGTCTGTTGTAACTAGTAATATGAAGTGGAGGAAAATTGTAGAGCCTAAGTCATTGAATGGTATTGAATAAGCAAAGGGGTTTGGGAGAGGTATGTGAATAGATTACTGAGACAAAATGTCACAATATCTAGGACTAATTTAAAAAAAAAAGGAAGATACTAAAAGGATGTGCCAAACAAATTATGTACAAGTTCTTTGCTTTCTGTGTTTTACAAAATGAAGTGCTGATGTTGTACAATAAGAAGAGAATGATGCATTTTCTAATCATACTAATGGAAGCTAAAAATAGGGAATTCTATATATGTCTAACCTTGACACACAGTACAGTATTTCTAATCTTTCAACTCTTTGATGTCTGGAATTGAGTTTTCCTAATATTCAAGACAGAAACTGGCAAAATTAACAAAGAAACTGACCAATTAACAAAGCTAACTATAAATAAAGTGGTTGAGTCTCACATTTTAACAATTGTAGAAAGACTTATTAGATCACAAGAACTGGATACAACAGGCATGTGGTTTGTTTTCATCTCCACAGCTGCTTTAGGATGTGATTACAATTACGTCAAAGTGACGTGAGAGGCTTATCCTTCCTCCCACATTTTCTCCCAGCACATTTCTGTCTTTTTCCTTGTGCCTAAGCTAGCACTGAAGGGGCACGGGATCTGTACTATGGCTAACTGTGCAATCAGCCAATGAATACCAACGAGAGTAGAAAAAAACTCCCAGAGCTACTAGTAGCAGGCATATTCTGTCTGAAAGCAGCTCAGATCACCAAGAGCCAATTGTGAAATTACACTGTACCTGTATGGTGTTAGGCAAACCACTCACAAATTAAATCAGAAAATAAAATATTAAGCTAGATGGGATTAGTGGTAGGTCACTGGTGTACCAGTAAAGGTGGATTAAACATGGTAAGTGCTAGCCAGCCTTCTTTCAAGCTAAATATAGGAATTCTTGAGCTTCTTTGTGGAAAGATTTAAATGGAAGCAATGGAAACTGCATCCAAGACAACAAACTGCAAGTCTCAATGGAATAAAGTTATGAAGTTATAGAGTCAGAGAGTCATTCCTCAAGACTGCCTGCAAATGCAGAGGCTTTAAGAGGATTTCTTAATTGAGTTATATGTGCATTATAATAAGAAGAAAGCCTCTGGTAGAGGAAAAGCATCCCACACATGGCTCCAAGAGGGAGCTGAGTGCTTGTACTGCCACAGCACATCATGAGCTGGAAAGGCAGACTGGATTTCAAAGCAAGGAGGTGCTGTTTGGTCCTACCGTATCCAAGAAGACAGGATCGTTGTGTATAGTCATCATAAAGATGCCATAAAAAAGTGCCACTTCTTAATTGCCATTTTCTCCTCCAATTGAAACAGATCAACACTTTCAAAAGGGCCTCATCATTAGACCTTAAAAAGATGCAACTGAGCTTCCAAAATATTTTAAGAATACTAAATATCTGAAATTACTATGTCACAGAAGTGAAAATGCATTTTTAAAAAATATTGTTTCACTTGATAGAAAGAAAAAAAAAATCCAAAGCTTTTAAGGCACAATAGCTAACAAATTCAGACTTCTATGTGCCAACTATTATTACTAAGGGCAAAGTAAACTTGATAAATAAATAAAACACAGATAGAATCTTGCTACACCAGATAAAATTATCACACTGTGGGTTCATATACCCAAGAACATGCTGGCCAAAGGTTGATACCTTGACATCTATTGTATATACAGTAATTTCTGTAGGAATTCACAATATCTTTTATTTAGGTGTTTAGAATGCAAATAATTGGCTTTGCCATGCAGAGTGTTAATATCGATTGCTTAAGCCTTCCACTTGGACAGTCAGAAGGCTTGCTGACGTGTTAGGTAATTAGCTTTAAAAGCAATACTCACTGTGAAGACTTTCTCAGGCTGACCACGAGCACGCATGTTTGTGTCATGAATTTGCTTGAGTATCATCCAAGCTTCATCATGTTTTCCAACCTAAATGTTAGACCAAAATGTAAGTGCAAAATATGTACAAATTAAGATACTCACTGTAGTTTCCGAACAATCTAAATGCCTGTTATTTTGACTGGAATCTAAAAGCCTTTTGGAAAGTCATACCTCCAGCAGGAACCGTGGGCTTTCCGGCATAAAGGTCAGGGCTACCACAGAAGAGACACAGGGCAGTGCACAGACAATCACAAATACTCGCCAGCTGTGGAACTGGTAGGCAGATCCCATGCTGAAACTCCACCCTGTGAAAGAAGAAATTCACAAAATGTAGAGAAATATGGAGTATTATACTTGTTATGCTGCAGCTTCTTGGAGATGCAAAGCAATGCCTATATTTAAATGAAGCCTGATTTATATATTTTAACAAATATCCATCATCTAACAAATAACACTGCACTATGAATATCAGCCTCTTGCATGTGACTAGTCATGCTGGAAAACAGCAGTATTATGCAGGGCAAGAGATTTCCTTACGCAGGGATGAATTTCAATTTTCTTAGCAAAATCTATATGAAGGTAGTTATGTGAATCAAACAGGGACATCATCACCACACAATAAGAGTACACATACAAAGAAATTGTTTTCTATGAGGACTAGAAGAAGGGAGACTTAAAAATCTACACTCAAATTATGTTTTTTATGGAATTTATAGCTTTCTTTATTATTAACTTTTTCTACAGAATTAATTTCAATAATTTTAATAGCAGTTTCCTGTGTGAAACTGGAAGGCTGATGGTTTAGCTTTTTCATAAAATATCTGACTGTTCAGTATATTGTGACTGGACTATTAAAATGTTATAATTGTAAGAAACCTAAGAATTTACCTTAAGAAAGAGAAAAATAGTATTTGTGTGGCTACCTGGCCTTTTATTCTGATTTCAATACAGTAGAAATTTTCAAGTAAAAATTTCAAGGATAGCTTATTAAAAGATGAGTGTAAGATAAAAATAATGGTAAAGGACAGAAGAGGTTATCAGAAGAAAATGGAATCCTGGCTAATGAAAGAGCTGATGCTGCAATAATCTGATATATTTCTTTGCTAACTGATTTTTCTAGACAAAAGACATAGTTAATTAAATCTGTTTGAATGTTGGTAAATAACTGCACAACATGGTACCAAATGGTCTATTAAGTAGTTCTTCAAAGGTAGTATTTATCTGTGAAATGTAAAGTATATTTTGGAATGTAAAACTCCTATGCTGTGGACCATAAACACATTGTTGGGAAAAAAATTGTTTCTCACATTAAACTACTTGCGTGTTACCATATGAAAAATACAGTCAAAACATGATTTTTTTTTTGTTCTTTATCAACAGTTCCGCAAAATGTTTTGATCAGCAGACCAGTTTTTTTTTTTAGTCTCCTGTAAACTTTCTGCATTTCTGAAATTTTTCAGGAAAAAGGAGCAAAATCAATAACAGTGTTGGCAATGATCTTGGTGTGCCATATTACTTTTTTTTAAGTAAGGCTTAAAAAGACATACCTTACCCCTCCAAACTTCCCACCAACAAGTCAAGGCTGTCTAAAATTGAATATTAAATTTTACTCCAAACTAGAACTTGGAATTCAAATTTAAGAATAAACTTTTTTTTAAGAAAGGGTGTAAAAGTGTACTAAAACTTACTCTTTATTGATTTTTGAATAATGCCAATTTTTGATCTTATGGAATTTCAAATTCTAAATAATATGGGCATACATTACATCTAAATTGTTAAGGGAAGGAAATAAAGAAGGAAAGGTTTACAGTGAGTTAATGAGGCAAGTAGAAACCATTTCTGTGTTTTGGGTATTGTGTACACATTTTATTCTAATAATTAGAATCATATACTTCATTACATAATTGAAAATATAGAACAAAATTCCTTGATGAAGAATTTGCAAAATTATTTCCTTTTGATGAAGGTAATATTTGGTCAGAGCAGTGAGTTGACCTGCCTCTCTGGGCAGCTGTGCAACTGCCAGTGCTTCAGGGAGGGCAGCACAGGATGAGGGTTTTCATCTCTCAGAACTTTCAGTATCAAAGTACTGGCCTTTGTTGTTATTGGAAACTGTTCTAGAAATACACAGAAACACTGGTATAGTTAGGCAATCTGCCTTTCACTGCACTAGTTTATGTTTTGTGAGATTGAGCTGTACAAAGGGCAGTTTGCAGTAAATTAAGCCAACCTTGCTTTATACCTGTTATAAAGCAACAGCAATATTGTGTGCTCTGTAGCCAGTCCTGGAAAATGCTGGTGGTAACTTATTTTTAGGTGTAAATGAACGATACTACATTTAACTAAAAGCAATGAGTGCACTGTTCAACCTGCTGTCATCCTGTCAACCTACAAAAGCTCCTCAAAGTATCTGAGGGACATGTCAAGTGAAACGTTCATTGCAGCTTTTACTGCTCTTATTCCGTCTTTTTTTTTATGTGCCGTATTAGCTGCTGCAATTTATCTTGTAATTTAATTTATCTGATAAATTAATGACAAAAGAGAATGTCAGGATTATAAGAAGAAATTTCTAGAAAAAAGAGCCAGCAGTAACACAGCTTTCTTGAGGCTGCTCCTCCCATCTATTCCAGCACCAGCACTGGATCAGCAAAACAAACATGTATTTCAAATGCAGAGCAAGTTTAGATTTATTCTTATGTTTAACACATCCTTTTTTTTTTTTTTTTCCCTGGGTCATGAGCTAATCTGGAAAATGGAGCCATTAGAGTAGCTCTGAATTTAGCTCACAAAGTGGCTTTCATTCCTAGTGTATGTAAGTCTTGAAACTAAATGGAAGTGTGTTCTTGGCTGTAACTCAATCTCCTTCTCCCTTCCCTGATTTATGACACAAGAGCAAAGACAGAGCAGCTCTACATGGTTGTTTTCAGTGCACTGCTCAGCCTTGCTCCCTGGCTATGCTGTACTTGAGTCATTAATCTTGAAAATGGAGGTGAGTCCCAATGTTTTATGAATTGCAAAACACTGGGCCCAAATGCATCTTCGGAATAATGTACTGTAGAGCAACCCAAACCCTGTAGTGACTGAGTCTGAAACTGCTGCAGGAACCTTTGTGCTGAGTACTACCCTCCTGCTTTCCTGGCTGCTGGAAAAGGCCAGGTGAATCAGACATGGCAATTACTGATTACAGAAACACAGTTGCACACAGCAGACCAAAACCAAAATGTACAAGGTGTTAACCTATATATATATACATATATATATATATATATAATCACCAATTTATAAGTTGAATTCAATGTCAACAAAATCTTTGCTCTCCAACATGGCATTTCATCTACTCCATTATATTACTATATTAACATGATATTATAAAGTTTTTGGTACAAAGGACAGAAAAGAACATTCATCTCATAGAGGTAAACTTGTTCACACTAGGATGAATTTTATAAATGTATAATACCTGATAAACAGCAAATATCTTCAAGCACAAGGGACATCCTCTACAGTAGATAAGTTACTAGAGAGCAGATTTATGGCAATTATTTGCTTCGCTTTCCAAAATAAGGGCTGAAAAGAAACATGATAGATCTCCACAAAGTGGAGTGTTACACTAAAGTGTGGTCAGTGAAAAATATGGGTGCCTAAAGGCTCTGTATAAATACTGAGCAGCAAGTGGATTGGTTTATAAATACCAGAGGAATAAAACTGTGAACACCTTTTTAAGACACTAAAGTTGGCAAAGAAATATTGGGATTTTATGACATGGTTAGATAAAGACTGAGGATCGTGACAATTTTTGTTAGTCATTCAATAGGAATAAGAGGAACTAGTTTCATGGCAGTTTCAGAAATTTTCAAAAGCCAAATTTTTACAAATTTCTGTCTTTTAGTAGATCAAAGGAAAGAGTAGATGCAGGAATATACCTAAAAATTAAGGATGAGGGAGAAAGATAACAAAGGAATTTACAGGAACTCATGAACTCGATAGATTCTTCTGAAGAATCTTTAATATGACTTTATAGCTTTTCTTATTTCTGTTTTACACAAAATCTTTGGTCAGAAGTCAGCTTTCTGGCCTCCATTTTTAATGTTTTTGTTTGAAACACTTCCAGTACCTAAAAAGCGTAATTGCTTTACATTGTCACTTGGTGGCACTGTTACTGCACTTAATACATATTAAGAATGTTTAAGAATGTTTGCAGGAAGACTTACTATCAAACGTTCTTGTTTTGAGTATTCCCCAAACCTAATCTAGATCAAAATTAAAAGGAGGATTAGAAATATTTTGAAGCTTGCAGCACTTTAATATTTTGTTATTGCATTTATATTTTGTCTGTCCTGTCATTACCAAGTGTAACTGTGAGAGTCATCTAGGATTTGAGCCCATACACGTTTTAGTGCTACTTATCAGAATAATGGTAAAACATCACTGAAACTTAAAAAAAAAAATAAATAAAAATTGAAGTAAGTTATGTAACTGAGGAAATTCTGTTAGACATTTTTACAAAGCTGGATGAAATACATGGTTCTAAACAATCGCAGAAATAATATGTTTTCAGAATTATTCTCTGTTGTATTAATGGGAAATTCCAGTAACACAAAGTAGAACACTTGTCTTTACTGTGATTAAATTATTAATATCATATGGGAAAAGGAGTGTTATTTTTAGCCTATATAGATAGATAGATAGTCTACAAACCCACTGTCTCAGCAAGTCAGCTGCTGTTAATTTCTGCAAAAGGAATTTGGAAATGAAATAGCTGAAGCGTGACAGGTGATGATGGAGGTAACGTAAAAAAAGGTGCATGGTTCTGTAGCTGATGCTATTAGTCCCTGGGAGCCTTGAGGATCACAAGTTCAATGAAAGAAGTAAGTAATAATGTTCAACAGATGCACTTAGACTCAGACTTGGTCTGCTGACACTAAAAACACATTTCCTTTGCCACAGAGGAGTGTCTGTAGCCACAGACACTGACCACTTCTCTGTGCTGGCATTGGTATTTATCTGAAGGCTTGAGATTATCAGGTCTCTGGTCACCCCAGCAACAGTATTTTTCATGCAGATAGTCCACAAGACATCTGCAAACAGGACAGACCTTGTGTAGAAAATAGTTTGGTCTCTAATACCATAAAACACAATTCCTGCACAGCACTGTAGTCCAGCTGTAGTACCTCTGAACAGTGACATCAAGAATTCACTTTTTAAATGTTTCTAATACCTGCTGTAGTACTGCCTAGTTTTACTTTTCATTAAGGAGGGAATTTGTGTATACCCATACTTCAGACAATTACATGTTATGATACAT